GATAGATAGATAGATAGATAGATAGATAGATAGATAGATAGATAAAGCAATGCTTTCACAGTCTCATGAAATGACTTAGCATCTGTTCCCAAACCTGATGGCCTGAATTTAATGCCTGGAACCCACTTAGTAGGAGGAAAGAAGTGATTTCAACAAGTTGTCTTCTGACCTACACATATGCACCACACATTAATTTTTTTGTTTTTTGAGAAAGGGTTTTTCTGTGTAGCCCTGACTATCCTGGAACTCATTTTGTAGACTAGGCTGGCCCCTAATTTTTTTTTTTAGTTGTATTGGTTATGTTTCTATTGTTGTGATTTAAAAAAAAATGAGCAAGGCAGTTTATAGAGAAAGTTTATTTGGAGTTACGGTTATACAGGGACAAGAGTCCATGGTGGAGAAGTACTAGCAGCTGGAGTAGCAAGCTGAGAGCTCACATTTTGAACCACAAGCATGAATCCAAGAATGAACTGGAGTGGCTCGAATCTTTGAATTCTCAAAACCCACTCCTACTAGCTTACTTCTTCCAGCGCGGCCATGTTTCCTAAACCTCCCTCTCAGGAACACCAAGTATTCAAATGCCCAAGGTTGTGGTAGACAACTCATTAAAACCAACACAGAGATTTAAAAAGAAAAAGGCAGATGGTGGTAGTGCTCACTTGGTATTTTCGAGACAGGAGTTCACACTCTCACTCTCTACAGAAAGCTATAGAGGAACCCTGTCTCTAGGGGGGAGAAAGTTCTATTACCAGTGAAAACAATAAGCCCTAAAAAGCAGTTTTAGTTACACATTTTGACAGATAACACAGCTGTCACCTGAAAGGAAATGAAAAATTATTTTGAGGCTAGATAACAGTGAGTGACAATGGTGCAAGAACATGAATTATATTGCCACCTGAATAACATGTAGTTCATCAAAGTTCCATGAACTTTTATATCACCAGATACATTGATGGGGACATCATCTAGCAGGGAGAATTCTACTGTAGGTTTCAGATACTATCTGCTGACACTCTTAGTTTTGGGGTTAGTGCATGCTGTTGAGACACTAAATTAATACATTCCAACGTTTTACTTTAATAGTTGAAGGAATTTAGGGCAGACAGAGGTGAACAGTAAGTAGCTCACCAGCACTTGGTAGGTAGCAGGAAGGTCAGGAGTTGAAGGTTATCTCCAGCTATGTGGTGAGTGCAAGACCAGCTGGGGCTATGTGAGACTCTTAGGGAAAAGAAATTAAGGCCAAGATCATTGTGCAGAAATGGCTAACATTATTTATAATTGAATAATTATCTATAACTGAATATTTAAAATCCATATGGTACAGGTTTTATGTATTTTAAGATGGTCTCTTGTGGTCTAGGATGTTTTCAAGCTTACATCCTTCAAAATGCGAAGATTACAAGCATGGACCATCACATCCAGCTTATATGGTCCTGGGGATGCGTAGGGATCAAACCCAGAACTTTATGCTTACTAGGCAAGCACTCTACCTAAATTGAGCTACATTCCAGCCCCATTTTATGTATGTATGTATGTATGTATGTATGTATGTATGTATTTGTTTTTTGTTAAGGGTTTCACTGTGACACCTAGAGTAGATTTGACTTGCTATGTAGATAGACCAGGCTGATCTTGAATTTATAGTAACCCGCTTGTATCTACCTCCCAAGTGCTGGAGTGATTGGCATGTGCCACCATGCTTGGCCAGATTACTTTATTTAATAATGTGGGGTAAAGTTGAGAGATGGAAAAATGAAAATAGAATTACATTCGTCCATTAAATCATTACTCTCACTCTAAAGGAAATAGATTTTATTTTGAGACAAATAAGAGTGGCCCATGGTCTGAGAGCACAAATTTAAGTTGTCCCAGGTGACATGTTCCCTGTGGATGTGATTACATGGAGTTTTGTAGTCACAGAATGAAGATAGTCATCAGTCAATCCATTCATTCCTGGGGACATCAGGTATGCAGATTACAACAGAACTAGAAAAACTGCTGAAGGTCTCAGATGCTATTTGATGATATGCTTAGCTTTTGGCTTAATGAAAGCCAGTGGACTGTTAAGTTAATAGATTTCAAAAGGGATGTTTAGCCAGATACAGAGGTTGATGATAAGTGACCTTTAGAGACTGAAGAGTCCAATATCGTTTGGCTCTCTGTCTGCAAATTCTAACTCTTCTTCTATCCTGAGATTCTGAAGTCTAAGTCCACCTACAGAATGTAGGTGTGGCTTTTTTAGGGAACTTAATTCATACATCCTGGAACAATCCGATTGTTTAGTGGTTTGGGATGTATGTTGGGTTCAGACTCACTGCTGTCCTGGGTCACATAAATCAGGTTTTATTATAGTTTCTGCATTTAATTTCAAATAAAGTTTTTGTTTCCCCTTTTCTCTGGGGTAGTGGTTGGGTGTTTTGGTTATTTTGCTTTTAAGACAGTGTCTCATTTGGAAGCCCTTGTTGGCCTCAAACTTTCTAAGACCATCCTACCTCTTCCTCCCAAGTGCTAGGATTAAAGGTTTGTGTATGTGTTACACACGTGCACTTGAAGGCCAGAAACATACATTAGTTGTCTTCCTTCATTCTTTTGTGTATTCATAGGAGACAGAGGTCTCTCCCTGAACTTAGGGTTTGCGTGTTTTTGGCTGGACTGGAAGCTAGTAAATCCTGACAGTCTCTCTATTCCCTGACTCCCTCAGAGCTGGGCTCCAGGTTGTGGTGTTGTTTTGGTGGGAATTGAACTCCAGTCCTCAGAGCTGGGCTCCAGGTTGTGGTGCTGTTTTGGTGGGAATTGAACTCCAGTCCTCAGAGCTGGGCTCCAGGTTGTGGTGTTGTTTTGGTGGGAATTGAACTCCAGTCCTCAGAGCTGGGCTCCAGGTTGTGGTGTTGTTTTGGTGGGAATTGAACTCCAGTCCTTAGAGCTGGGCTCCAGGTTGTGGTGCTGTTTTGGTGGGAATTGAACTCCAGTCCTTAGAGCTGGGCTCCAGGTTGTGGTGCTGTTTTGGTGGGAATTGAACTCCAGTCCTCAGAGCTGGGCTCCAGGTTGTGGTGCTGTTTTGGTGGGAATTGAACTCCAGTCCTCAGAGCTGGGCTCCAGGTTGTGGTGCTGTTTTGGTGGGAATTGAACTCCAGTCCTCAGAGCTGGGCTCCAGGTTGTGGTGCTGTTTTGGTGGGAATTGAACTCCAGTCCTCAGAGCTGGGCTCCAGGTTGTGGTGCTGTTTTGGTGGGAATTGAACTCCAGTCCTCAGAGTCACACAGCAAGCACTCTTTTTTTTTATTAAAATGTTTAATTTATTTTACATTCCAACCAGAGTTTCCCCTCCCTCCTCTCTTTCTGTTCCCTCCCCTGATCTTCCTTCTACACTGCCATCCCTGTCCACTTTTCTTCCTCTGTCTCCATTCAGAAAGGATAGGGCCTCCCTTGGGAGTCAACAAAGCCTGGCATATCAAATTGAGGCAGGACCAAGCTCCTCCCCCCTGCTTAAAGGCAGAACAAGACATCCCACCATAGAAGAATAGGTTCCAAAAAGCCAGATCATGAACCAGTATCATACAGGTCCTTGTCCCACTATCAGGGGCCCTACAAACAGACCAAGCTACACAACTGTCATCCAGATACAGAGGGCCTAGGTCAGTCTCAGGCAGGTTCCCAACTGTTGCCCTAGAGTCCATAAGCTCCCACAACGTCAGGGTCAGCTGTCTCTGGTTTCCCCATCGTGATCTTGTGTGTCTCCCCCTCATCCCCCGTCCCCCACCACTCTTTGCTCATATGATCCCTTATTCTCTTCAGCTGAGCTCCCGGAGCTTGACCCAGTGCTTGGCTGTGGGTCTCTGCATCTGCTTCTGCCAGTTACTTAATGAAGATTCCATGATAACAATTAAGGTAGTCACCAATCTGATTACAGGAGAAGGCCAGTTTAGGCACCCTCTCTACTATTGCTACAAGTCTTAGCAGGTTCATTTTTTAAAATTTCTGGGAGTTTGCCTGCACTAGGTTTCTCCTTTACCCTAAGATGGCCCCCTCTATCAAGGTGCATCTTTCATTACTCACCTTCTCTGTCTCTCCCCCAACTCAACCATTCCAATCCCTCATGTTCCCCACTCCCCACCATCTCCCCTCTACTCATCTCCACCTCCAGTTTGCCCAGGAGATCTCATCTATTTCCTTTTCCCAGGGTGATCCATGTGTCCATCTTAGGGTCCTCCTTGTTACTCGGTTTCTATGGGGCTGTGGATTGTAGCCTGGTTATCCTTTGCAGATAACCAAGGAGCCATCTCTCCAGCTCCCAAAGTACTAGGATTATAGGCTTACCATTTAGGACAAAAGCTTTTTATTTTTCTAATGGTAAGACGTTGTTAGTTGCCAGTTTGATCCTTCCAAATTGTTGTTCACCTACTTGAATCCACATTTGTGAGATCATGCCAGGAATCAGGATACTGATGTTTTAAGAATGCTAGGGTCTAAATAAATCAAAGATACTACTAATAGTTTAGATGATTGTTGAGACAGCACTGTGCGCTAGCCAGCAACACCCTGTCTGTCTGTCTGTCTGTCTGTCTGTCTGTCTATCTATCTATCTATCTATGCATCTTTTATCTGAAATGTGTCTATGCACCGTGTGTGTGTCTGATGTTTGTAGAGGCCAGAAGAAGGCATTGGGTCCCCTGGAACTGGAATAATGGACAATTATAAGCTGCCATGTGGGTGCTGGAAATCAAACCCAAGTCCTTTGTAAGAGCAGCCAGTGCTCTTAACTGCTTGAACCATCTCCAGCAACCCCTTTCACTTTTTAAAGTAATAATTTAAACAATTTTTGTTTAAAAATACTTAAACTTGTTTGAGATAAGGTCTCACTTTGTAGCCCTGGCTGTCTTGGAGCTCACTATGTAGACCAGGCTAGCCTCAAGCTCACAAAGGTCCGCCTGCCTCTGCCTCCCTAATGCTGGGTTTAAAGGTATGAATACTTAATTTTACTTTCTTGTTACCAATTCTACAGATTATAAGCACACCACAGAGAATTACCAATTCAGGAAGTGTTCTGATTGGGAGTCCGTATCCCCCTGCACCAGCAATGGTCACTCAGACACACATAGCTGAGGCTGCCGGCTGGGTTCCCAGGTAAGAGGGCCAGAGATGACTGTTTCTAAGTCTTTCCTTACTGTCCTGCTGTCTCGTCCTTGTCTTCCTACCTCCCCTTTTTGCATTTATTATTTTACAAATGTGTGCACACATGCTTGTCATGTATCCTGTGTGGAAATTAAAGGAAAGCTTTGGGAGTCAGTTCTTTCCCACTGTGAGAGTCCTAGAGATCCAACTCAGTTTGTCAGGCTTACCAGCAGGTGCCTCTAACACACTAAGTCATCTCACCAACCCAAATATTATTGTTAATTACGTATATATAAAGGGGTGGGATATGTGACCATGAGTGCATGCCGGTGCCTGTTTAATTCCGAAAAGGGCATTGGTTTCCTGGAGCTGGAGTTTTAGGTGGTTGTAATCTACCCAAGGTCAATGCAGTAAAACAAGAAAGCCTGGTTCTCAGAGCAGTATATGCTTTTAACCACAACACTGTCTCTCCAGAACTTCTGTTTTTCAAATTGTGTGTGTGTGTGTGTGTGTGTGTGTGTGTGTGTGAGAGAGAGAGAGAGAGAGAGAGAGAGAGAGAGGGGGGGGGGTTTACATATTTGTGAGCATACATGTATATGAATGAATACATATAGTGGCAAGAGGTTAACAACAGGTGTCTACCTTCATCACTCTACATTTTATTTGAGGTCTCTTGTTGAAGGCAGATCTTGGTGATTTGGCTAGTCTATCTAGCCAGTTTACCTCAATCATCTCTGAGTGCTTGCCAGGATTACAGGCAGGTTACCCCATAGTCCTAATTTATATATATGTGCTGGGGTCTGGTTGTTGGACTTGAATGGCAAGTGTTTTATACACTAAGCCATCTCATCAGCCCTTGAGTTCTCTTCTTGTTTTGTTAATTGGCATTATTTATTTTGGTTTGGGGGGTTTTGAGATTGGGTCTCATGTAATTTAGGATGGTCTCCAGCTCACCAAGGCAGCTAAGTGATCATCCTGACTCCTGATCTGGGGCTGCTGTGAGTTTGGGTTTTACTGTTGTTTGAGACTGAATCTTGGGATATAACTTTGGCTAGCCTAATACTTTATATAATGCTGACTAGTCTTGAACTCTCAGTGATCCTTCTGCCTCAGCCTCTTAAATACTGAAGTTACAGTTATTTGCCACCATATCCAGTAAGTTTAGATCTTTAAAACTAATATATTGCTTTAAAATCACTACTTATGATTGAGTTCCATGTGTAGTCCAGGCTTGCCTCCATACGCAGTATCACCATGTCAGTGAGTACAACCATATTTTTTATAGTTTTTTCACTTTAACTTCATTTGCATTCATGTTTTGCCTGCATGAGTGTCTGTGTGAAGGTGTTGGATCCCCTGAAACTGGAGTTACAGGCAGTTGTGACCTGCCATGTGGGCCTGGGAATTTAACCCAGGTTCTCTGGAAGAGCAGCCAGTGCTCTTAACTACTGAGTCATCTCTCCAGCCCTGAGTACAACCATTATTTAAGCTGAGAAAAATGATTTAACAAATTATCACTAGATCTTCTGACTTTTTAAAACTTTGAAATAGGACTACTTTTTACGATTATAATACTTAGCTACTTTGGAGATATAAAAATTAACTTTATAATTTTTCACACTTAAAAGAATTATTTGTATTGGCTTTACTCATGATTTTTCCCTTTAACTTTCTTAAAAATCAGAAAAGAAACTAGGAAAAGAGGACAAATATGTTAAAATTTTCATTAAAACTTCCCTTGATTTTTTTTTTTAAAATAAATATTAGGCAGTGAAATAGATATTCCGTCTATGTTACCACTTAGCCCCCATTTATGTTTACCTTTGTTTATAAAATGCTTTTTCCTCTGTTACTTCAGCACCCTGTCTTCTGGAAGAGGTAATGAAGCCAGGAGTGGTGGTGCATTAATGTAATCCCAGACCATTGGGAGAGTTCAAGGCCAGTCTGGGTGACATAGTAAAACCTTGTCTCATGGGGTGGGGAATGGGTACATAAGCATGCAAGAAAGAAAAGGAGAGACTAGAGACACCACTCAGTGGGTAAGAATACTTATTCTTACAAAGGAACAGAAATTGGTTCCCAGCACTCAAATTAGGTGGCTCAGAATTTCAGCTCCCAGACATCTGATACCATCCAGCCTCTGTGGGCACCCACATACACATGGCACATACACATAAATAAAAATTAAAAGGAAGAAAGAAAAATATTAAAATAATACTCTAAACTTTATTTTATCACTTTTGAAGTTTTAGTACTTGAGGTGTTATACATCTAGTAACATACTGCTTGCGTTCTACCCTATGTTTGTTTATGCAAACCAACAGTAGTTCTTTATTAAGAATGACCTTTGTTTCAAGGATAAGTAAGTTAATGAAGTAAAAGCCCTGTCAAGTTTTGCCATATACAGATTGACAGACATATCCATATAAACAAGAGTTTTGTAAAAGTTAATTTGTACTGTTTTCCTACCCAAGTATTCATTGAGCTTATTCCAACTTAAGAATTATTATGTTTTCCTGTCTTTATCCCATGGTAAAAATTAAGTTTTCTCATGTGTACATTCAGAGTAGAATGAGTCAAACTATAGTAAGTTAATTTAAGAAACAGAGTTGTGTTATGTGCTATCCTTAAGCTATCTTTTTGTCTTTTTAGTGATAGAAAACGGGCTAGAGAATTTATAGACTCTGATTTTTCAGAAAGGTGAGTATAAGTGTCTTTTGTTTCATATTCTACAACGAAAAGGGGGGCTCCTTTGTATAACTTTTAACTTCATACAGTTTCTGCCATTATTTCATTCTGCACTGAGCTTTCTAATTCACTTTTTTGGTGGCAGGAGGAGGGAGTTTTGAGACATTGTTTCTCTATAGCTTTGGAACCTGTTCTGGAACTTGCTCTGTAGACCAGGCAGGCCTCAACTCACAGAGATCTGCCTGTCTCTGCCTCCTAAATGCTGGGATTAAAGACGTCACCACCACCGCCCAGCCTTCCATTCACTTCTTTGCAAAGTTTCAGTAGATATCCCATGACATTAGTCATTAGGCCCCTCCCTCCTTTTCTGAACGAAAATGTTCTTCCAAAGTAAATACTCTATAGTTTCCTAACAAGCCCAAACTTTTAAACAATTGTTGGGTATTTTTTTTAAACACTTTTTAGGGTATGAGATCGTCTTTTCTTAGAATATTAGTATAATGGTTCTCCTTTTGTATAACAGAATTACTGTGGTCTCTCTCAACAAGTATAAATATCTCTCTAGTCAGTTACCTCTGGCATTAAAGACTATCAGTGGAAGAGCGCTTATGTAACATTCATTAGTCCTACTTTTATGACCAGCACTAGGGAAGAAAGAAAGGATCTATTGGTTTAGAGTCATTTTATTAGCCTAAGTTCAAAAGGTCATGCAAGCCACTATACTAGGTTTCATATTAGTATTACACTATATTAAAATATAGTTGTCCATTCACTTCTATAATATGATAATTGTTCTGTTAATAAATAAAGCCTTAGTAATGGTTTTTACAACATCCTCCACTACATAGGAAATTATAAACCTATATGGGCTAATGTGAGACCCTGTTTTCAACTGAAAAAAACAAAGTAATAGAATCTCTTATTCCATCAACAAATATAGTTAATGAACAAAACAAGTGAACAGTACTGCTTTATATCTACTCAATAGCCATTAGAAAAAAAGACACTATTGACTTTTACAAGGATATGAAGCACCCAGAATGCTCCTGGGCTACCCATGGCAATATAAATTATCACAGTCATTTCTGTAAAACCAACATAGATAAACCCTGACTTACTAGTGTTCTAAATGTGTTGAATAGGAGTGTGTGTGTGTGTGTGTGTGTGTGTATGTGTATCCACAAAAATTTATTAAAATCTTAGATTTATTTTTATACATATGAGTATTTTGCCTGCATATATATGTATGTACCACATGCATTCAATGTCCAAGGAGGCAAGAAGACATCAGATCTCCTAGTGTTGGAGCTACAAATGCTTGTGAGCCACCATGTAGATGTTGGAAACTAAACCAGGTCCTCTGCAAGAGATCAGCAAGGGATCTTAACTACTGAGCCAACTCTTTAGCCTAGCCACACACACATTTGCTACTTAATGAAATTAATTTTGGTGGAAGTTACATTTTGTTGTTGATTTTTGTTTGTGTTTTTTGTTTTTCTTTTTTGAGCCTTCCAAGTACTAGTATTATAGGTTTGCATCACCATACTTGGCAGTTAAAGAGGTTTTTGTTTTAAGATTACTTGATTGTATGTGTGTGTGTGTGAGTGAGAGAGACATACATACATACATACATACATACAGGTACCCTTGGAGGGCAGAGAAAGCATTGAATCTCCTGGAGCTAGAGTTAAAGGTGGTTGTAAACTGCCTGATGTGGATGCTGGAAACCAAACTCTGGTCCTCTATAAGAGTAGTATGTGTTTTTAACTGCTGAGGTATCTCTCTAGCCCCTAACTGTTGGTGGAATGTTGTTAGTTCATTCATGGCTGCTCGGCTCCAAAATAATCACTCAGAAACTATATTGTTTGCAATACTGTTTGGCCAATAGCTTAAGCATATTTTTAGCTTGCTTTTATATACTAAACTAACCCATCTCCGTTAATCTGTGCATTACCACAAGGTCAAGGTTTGCATTACCACTACCAAGTTTTGACAGGCTCCAGCAGGACTGCTACATGGCTTCTCCCTGACTCTTCCTCTATCTGCTTAGAATTCTTGCCTTGCCCTATTCTGCTAAGACACTAGCCAAAACAGATAAAAGCGATGCATAGATAGAAGGACTTCCCACGCCACCTAACATTTTAAAAATCACATGTATTTATTGTGTATTTATCAGTGTTGGTGTACATGTGTCTGCCAATGAATGCATATGAAGGTCAGAGAACAACTTAATGGAATCAATTCTTTCCCTCCATTGTATGAGTTCCAGATCCAACTTGGGTCATTAGACTTGGAAGCAAGTACCTTTACCTGTTGAAACATCTCAGTAGCCCCTCAGAGTGTACCTACTACTATTTAAACGCTCAATTAAGATTTTCTGTTTTTCTGTTCCTTTCTTTTCATATCAATCAGATGCTTAGTTCTACTGATTCTAGCCTTTCTGTGTTTGCAGTTCTGTCTGTCATGTTTTCTACCATTGACCCAGCTTCAGGTCATCACCTCAGCTATTGCAATAGCTTCTTAGCTGGTTTTTCTTTCCCTTCCTTTTCCCCATAAAATTCACCTTTAACTTTAACACAGTAGTTTTTGCCTACATCAGTATCTCACTGTGCAACTCAAATCAGTTAGAAATTTCATTGCATTTCAGTACTTCTGTGCCTGTGCTCTGAGGATGCATTTATGATTCTTCCCTAATTGTATTAGTCAGGGTTCTCTAAAGGAACAGAACTAACAGAATGGAACACACACCCACACACTAACAGCACTAAAAGGCAATTTAGTCTGGCTTACAAGGTGTGGTCTGTGTATTCCAACAATGGCTGTGTCACAATGGAAAAAGCCAAGAAGTTGATAACTATTCAGTAGTGCATTAGGCTTAATGTCTCAGCATTCCCTTGATGTCACCAGCATCTGGTGCTGGAATCCTGGAGGATTCCTGAAGAGCTGCTATTGACCTTTGGTGTTGAAATCCTGAAGGAGTTGAATTCTAGTACTATTAAAGGAATACCTCAGCAGCGGTCAGAGCGAGGGCAAGCAGGCAAAAAGCAGTTTCCTTCTTCCATCCTTGGGCTGTCACCAGAAGGTGTAGCTGAGATTTAAGGTAGATCTTCTTGCTTCAGTCTGATTAAGGAGATTTAAAGCTAGCCTTGTGTATGTAGTGAGTTTCAGGCTAGCCAGAGATACACAGTGAGACCCTGTTTCAAGAAATACAAATTAAAGAAACCTAGCATCTTGGGTTTTAGTTGATTCTAGATATAGTCAAGGATATAGTCAAGTTGACCACCATCACAGGAATGTGGGGGGAAGAAAATAGATATCATTTTCTTGTCTCATTCTTTTGAAAAGAGCGTGTCTAGTCTTTTTTTTTTTTTGGAACATGTAAATAATTTATTAATGAGTCAGATTTTGCTGGTAAACATGATGAGATGAAGTCAAAATTTGTTTGCTTTGTGTTTAAGCCTGGTTTTCCCATGTTTGTCATTGCTCACCTTGAGGTCTATATGGGGACCCCCTGCTGTTTTTGCCATCCTGTATTCCTTGCTGCTTCTCCTGACTAAAGCACCTCATTTCCTTCCTTTTACCTTTACTTCACTGTATGACTGTCCCCTCAAGCCATCTTCCTATACGTTAAAATAACTGTCCATCTTTCCACAGGACATTGCTGAGTAACTGTGGCCTGACACTTTTGCCTTTGGAATTGTCCACGTTGTGAATGTGTTTCATCCTCATGTTCTAAGGCTTATTGAGGAAAAGAATTTCACCTAAATTTTTATACTTCTGGTCCCTAAAACAGTTTTTACATATATTTGATGCCCACATATTATTTGAACTAAACTGACCCCTCAAATCTTAATGGCTAAGAACTGACAGTGATTGTTTTAATGTCAAAGAAAAGATAAATATTAATTAAGATATTATCTCTAGAAGATAGAGTTGTTGTAATCTTTCACAAATTTATTTCTAGTGTCTCAAAGTGACTGACAGGACAGTAATTTTTCAGTACTTGCTTACTAAATGGACGACATAAAAAAGCACTCTGTATATTGTTGAGCTTTTAAGATAAAAATTAAATTTGAAAACATTCCCTCGATTCAATTTAAATTTTCTTCATTTGAAACTAACTAAAACATGGAAACTAAAGGACTGTCTTTCTGGTTTTATTTTTGCATAGTTTTATAGAGGAAGTCTCTTTAATTATAATGGAATATCAATTTTTCGTTTATTTTTTTCTTTTCTAGTAAACGAAGCAAAAAAGGTGATAAAAATGGGAAAGGCTTGAGACATTTCTCAATGAAAGTGTGTGAGAAAGTTCAGCGGAAAGGCACGACATCATACAATGAAGTCGCTGATGAACTGGTATCTGAGTTTACCAATTCAAACAACCATCTGGCAGCCGATTCGGTAGGTGAATCATGAATTTCATACAGACTCTAGTACATAATTCAGTTTACCTATGAGTCTGAGTGGTAGCTCTGAGGAAGCTAGGGAATCATTCAATCGAGTGCTTCCTATTTCATGTTAAGGGGATTTCTATTGTAAATTTTTAGTTTGCTTTAGAAATACTCTTTTATTTGAACAGATGTATTTTGAATATTTTTAATATTTGATGTTTGCATGTATGATGTATGTGGGCACATGCATGCCATAACATTTATGCCAAGTCAGAGAACACTGTTGAGTCAGTTCCCTCCTTACCTTCACCTGGGCTCTAGACTGAACTCAGGTCATCACGCTTATCTGGGAAATGCTTTACCCCGCTGGTCCATGTTGTTAGCCCCCCAATAATTTTGGAGCCTTGCACTTGGGAGATTGAAGCAGGAAAAAAACCAACAATTTTGAAGGCAACTTGCAGTATATAGTAAGTAAAAGGCTAACCTGGGCTACATAGTGAGCCCCCCCATGTCCAAAAAAACAAAATAAAATTCAGTTGCATAATTTACATTTTATATTGATTTAGAATTCATTTTATATTTAGATGGATTCAGTGTTCCCCACTCTCCTTTATTATCATGAAATTTAATTGATTCAATTTTGTCTTAAAAACTTCCTGTCATCAGGCAGAGGCAGGCAGATCTCTAAGTAGAGGCCAGCCTGGTCTACAGAGTGAGTTCCAGGAAGAGAAATCTTGTCTTCAAAAATCAACAAATAAAAAACTCCAAACGCAGAAGTTCTTATCTACAATAAGATTAAAAACCTCATTATACAATCAATATAAATGTATTTATTCAATAAATTCTTATTACCAAAAGAAAGGAAAAGGTTACTTGAACCAATTAGTGTGCTAGAGTATAGATATATCTTGCGACAAGTTCCTGTTCTTATTACAGACTGAAAACAGCTAGTCAGCACTGTTTCATGAACCACACTGTAAGCAGCACAATTTTACATAGACATTATCTTTGATATGCTTGTGCATATGTGTATGTTGTCTGTGTTGTATGCGTGTGTGTAGAGGCTAATATGCATGAATGTGCAGATGCCAGGTTAACATGAGTATCTGTCACTCACCACCTTATTTATGTATGTATGTATTGTATGTATTTATAGACAGGGTCTCAGTTTACATCTCTGACTGGCTTGGAACTCACAGAGAACCATTTGCTTCTGACTCCCAAGTGCTGGTATTGAAGATGTATGGTACATTCCTGGCATACTCACCTGGAGCCTAGGTTTCTCACTGAACCTGAAGCTTAGTGATTGACTAACTGGGAGGCCAGTAAGCACCCAGGATCCACGTGCCTTCACCACCCTTGTACTGTAGTTACAGATGCATGTCTACTGCACTTGACTTTTACGTGGGTGATGAGGATCCAAGAGTATGAAATTCTTCCTAATAATGCAGGCACTTTTAATACTTTACCCTTTTATATATATATATTTGTCATGGATTTTAATTTTTATATATTCTGGATTCCATAATTGTTTTTATATAGCTGAGATTTGGCCATATATTTATATTCTACATTTCCAAGCTTCCATTTAAAAAAATTTTTCTCCCACCTTAGTGTTTTTTAGTGTCAGTCTGGTGGTAGTATGTTTGTTTCAGGTGATTCTGTGTTAAGGTATTTTCAGAGTTAGAGATAGGGGAACCCCGTGAGAGCACTTGCTTAGCACAAATGAGGTCTTGGGATCAATCCTCAGAACTACTAGAAAGTAAGGAAGCAAAGAGTGTCCTGAGAGCTGGGAAGACAGCTCAACAACAGAGGCACTTTGCTGCCAGGCCTGATGAACGAGTCAGACAGAATTCTCTGGTGGAAGAAGAGATTGGACTTCCACAAGTGGCTCTCTGAACTCCACCTGGACACGATGGCCAGAGTTTGTGTCTTCCAACACACACACACACACACACACACACACACGTAAAAATAAATAAATGAATAAAAATGTTTAAAGTGTCTTTGTTACATATTGAATTTTGAAGACATTTTAGTTGGACACAATTTTTTCAGCAGTTGGGAAATAGTGTCATCAACAGCAGAAGCATGTGAAAGATAACCCTTAAAATTATCACTTAATAAAGATATTTTTAGCAGGCTTATGATCAGAAGAACATTAGACGAAGAGTTTATGATGCTTTAAATGTGCTAATGGCAATGAACATAATTTCAAAGGAAAAAAAAGAAATCAAGTGGATTGGCTTGCCTACCAATTCTGCTCAGGAGTGTCAGAACCTGGAGGTGAGTGGGAAGTACTGTCGGATAGTAGAGTTTTTGTTTGTTTATTCTCCATATATAGAAATATAGTCATGCAATACTAAAATATTCCTAGTTGTTTATGTTTGCATCATTACTTTAAGATTTTGTGGAGAATGTTGAATTGGAACAGTTTTGGAGATGTAATGTGCAGTTACAAATCATGAAACTGAGCAACAAAATGTCAGTGAGTGTTCTGGGCATGAAGGTGATGATGGTGCATCCCTGTAGCCCCAGCTCTTGGAAGTAGGGAGAAGATCAAGCAAGGATCAGGGTCATCTCCATCATAGAATTCAAGGCTAGCCTGAGTACATACCCTGTCTCAAAGCAGACCTACAACAAAAATTCAACACAAAACAACAACAACAACTGTAAAATTAAATGAATGGATTTCATATGTGTTGTTTCTTAGATAAGATCTTTATTCTAATTTAAAGTACCTGCCAATAAATTTTTGGTAGGTCATCTAATAGATCTAATTTTACCTGATTAGTTACTTTGATGCAAGATAAATCTGTGCTTCCAAACAATAGCTCAAGCTGGTGGTGTGTTTCTTATTCAATACGTATAACTATGGAAGTTAAGTTTACCTTTGACTCTACCGTCAGTAAGTGACAGCATTTTAATGTGGCCTCCACTAATTTTGGAAAAATGTTAAAAAAATATTTTTAACTTGGTTAACTTTAGGCACTATAGAAAAATTTCCCTAAATGGGTATGTTTCTGACACTATTACTAATTGGTTTGTTATAATTTTACTGTTAAGACCATGAATAATATGAGCTGAGGTGAACAGTGGCTCTTGGAGATAATTATAGTTGATTTCAGATTTTACTCAGTACTCTTGCACTCAATCCCCTCCTAGAAATAAGAAATACTATTATTGTTCTTGAGAATGACAAAAAACAAGCCACATTCTTCAATAGTGTTTTTATATCCTACAGTTGAAATTTCTTCCTTTTTCTTCTTCCTGAATAGGCGGAGGGGAGCAGAGAAAAATGTAGAGCTCGATAAATATCAATCTATCAATCTAGATAGATAGATGTATAGATAGATGGATGGATGGATAGATAGATAGATAGATAGATAGATAGATAGATATAAAATCCTGGGTCCAGCAGTGTGCACCTCTAATCCCAGCACTTGGAAGATAGAGGCAGGATGACCACAAGATCCTGTAATGTCTGGGATATATAGCAACAGTATGTCTCAAAAAAATTTTTTTAAATAAAAAAATACCTGGTAGGGGGCTGGAGAGATGGCTCAGTGGTTAAGAGCATTGCCTGCTCTTCCAAAGGTCCTGAGTTCAATTCCCAGCAACCACATGGTGGCTCACAACCATCTGTAAAGATGTCTGGCGCCCTCATCTGGCCTTCAGGTATACAGACAGAATATTGTATACATAATAAGTAAATAAATAAATTAAAAAAAAAAGAATTGTTTTAAAAAAAATACCTGGTATAAGGGGAGGAATATGGTACAGAAAAGGAAAGATTAGGTATAATCTGAGTTAAGTAGTGACAGTGAGATCGGAGAGGCATGTTAGCGAAAGAGTCAGGTATAGCTTAGCCTGGTTGGATGTGGGCATAACTGCAGATGGGGGCTTAGCTTTTATCCTTACAGCAGTATCACACAGATGTCCATCTGAGTCTCAAGTATTGAAAATGCTGTGATGGTTGTTATCACTGTGGAAAGGAACTCTTAGTGTAGACCAGAGTAGATCAGGAGCAAACGGGAAATAATTTTTTGGAGCAGACAAGAAAAGGTGTTTTACATGATGTGTCAAAGAAGAAAACAAACTGGATGTGATGTCATACAGCAATATATGTAGCACTTGAGAGGTAGACTCAAGGGGAACTTGGGTCTTGATCCTAGCCTGGGCTACATAGGGAGTCCCTATCTCAAAATACAACAATGGATGAAAGTATAACTTCATTTTAAAGGTGTGTTTGGGGACTGGAGAGATGGCCTGGTAGCTGAGAGCACTTGCTGCTCTTGTACAGGACCAGGGTTCCGTTCCTGACACCCACATGGTGGCTCAGAACCATTTGTCACTCCAGGGGATCCAGTGCCACCTTCTGGCCTCCAAAAATACCAGATATCAGATTAACATGACATACATGGAAGTAAAACACTCAAAAAATAAAAGTAAATCTTTGTTTGTTGCTTTTAATATCATGTCTTAAAGATAGAGAAGCAGAGGCGGATAGAACGGATAAAGCAGAAGCGGGCTCAGCTACAAGAACTTCTCCTTCAGGTAAAGCTCTGGCATATTTTTTTCACTACCTTCGTTGCCTATATGGTGTTTCTCTTTTCATTTACTTCCAAAGCCAGTGTGTTTTATAGCTGTAGTGCTATCAGGTAGTATCTGGAAGAATCCCAATACAGTCACACCCATCATAGGGCATTAATCTTGAATGCTTAGCCTTTCAGGTGGCCCAGCTGTCACATTTACCCCCCATCCCTAACTCCCAGATGCCCACCTTGAATACAGCAGCTTTTTTGGTGTTCATCCTTACTTAGAGGTTAGACCGTCAAGTTTTGCTACTTGTTTTGTTCCTAAAGGGGATCTTTTTAGGTCTATCAGGACTGGTGAAGTAGTTGTGGCCCGACCTATAGTCCCCATCCAGTCTGTACTAAAAGGTCTACATTGTCTTCCACCAGCAGACAGAAACAGGATAAGTACCACTCCATGCTGAGAGACTATTTCTGCCCCAATGGGAAGGCAAAATGAGAAATGCGTATTGGAAAAGAAGGTCTCCTCATCGAAAGGCAGAATACATCTCAGGAGCTAGCCCAATTTGTCTATGAAAAAACAAATGGCTGCTTTCTGTGACTAGAGACCCGGAGAAAGGGGCAACATGAAATGCCAGGTTTCTATATCCACTGGGAAGTTCAGGTGTACCATCTTATAAAGGTACCTGGGCTCCTTAAGTTGGACTGGTATTCTGGATCCTGGAGAGGGTAGTCCCAGGACTCATCAGTGTTTAAATTGGGGAGCTAGTTTCAAGTTCTTGTTGCACAGAAGCCATCCTGCCCTCCAATTATTGCTTTGGCTATTAGGAAAGTGTTCATAAGAGTGTAAGAGAGACATAATCCTCAGTTCTGTCCTTGAAGTGTGGTGAGGTTGAATTTCTTGAGCTTCTCTGGGATATGATAGGTTGGAGGGGGGGGGGACAGGCAGACCCGTTGGGATATATGGGGGTTTTGTTTTGTTTTTTCAAGACAAGGTTTCTTTGTTTAACAGCCTTGGCTATCCTAGAACTCGCTTTGTAGACCAGACTGACCTCGGACTCACAGAGATCCACCTGCCTCTATCTACTAAATGTTGGGGTTAAAGGTGTGTGCCATCATAGTCAGCCAGGGATATGTAGGCTTTGAAGGAAAGAGAACTCAGGTGATGGGGTTATAGAGCTAGGTAAGGAGTCTCCTGATTTCAAAGGTACAGAGCCAAAATATAGAGGCTTCAAAGGAGCAGGATCTGGCTAACATTTGTGTTAAGCTAGCCTTAAGAATAAAAGAAAGTTGACCATAAAGAACATTAGATCATTTCCATCTTCTTAAAGAATTGGGCCAGTTGAAGGATGGCATTGTTATTGAGATTCTCCTGAGGCATCTTTGTGTCTCTCTTCATAGCCCTGGCTGTCCTGGAACTCATTGTGTAAACCAGGCTGTCCTCAACTCAGATATCCACCTGCCTCTGCCTCCTGAGTGCTGGGATTAAAGGAGTGCACCAGCTAAGGCATCTGTTTTTCATAGCACGCAGAAGTTACTGAGACCATGCTTCCTAACAAAATCATTTTTTTTTGTCTTGTCTGAGGGTCTAATTCTGCCCATTGTGAAGGCAATCAAATAGTGATTTCCTGAGAGTTTTCGAGGGGAAAGATAAAGAAGTCTTGGGTTGTGGTTTCCTTTCCCTATCTCCAGTCTGTTAAGAGAATAATAGTTAGTACAGTCTTATCTCAGGAAGGGGCTAGATCAAGTTGTGGGATTTCTGTACCTACCCCTGGCTTAGTCCCCTGACATTTCCCAGTTTCTCCTTTAGTCCTGTTGTGTAGGATCATATCATCCTCTTGTCCCAGGTCCCATGTTTTTGGTGCCATCATCCCTCACAGGAAGAGTATCAGTCTCAGAGAGGGTGAATCCTCAATGAGGAGTAGCCTAAAGCTGTTCACAGTAGGACAGGAGTTATCTGATTGGGAGGAAAATGACCATAATTCAAGAATCATCAGGGTAGAAAGACCCACCTAGAGTGCAACCAGTGGACATCTGCAAGAGACTACACTTATATGTGTTAGAATGTTGCTGGACAGGAATGTTGTCGTAAAATGGGACTATCAGACTGGAGCTGTAGATAGTAGAGTTCAATCCCCAGCATTACATAAACCCGGCATAATGGTACATCCCAATAATCCTTGCACTTGGGAAGTAGGGACAGAAAAATCAGAAGTTCAAAGTCGTATTCCTACGTGTAGCAGGTTCAAGGCCATGAAAGCCACAAGACCCTGTCTGAATCAATAATAAATAAAACAAAACAAAACAAAACAGGTGGTAGTGTTTATTTAAAAATCGATGGGAAAGGAGCCATACCATACAACAGGGCTTACATGGGAGGTTTATTGTAAGAAGAGAAAGAAGGGAACAGAGACTGGTCTGAGAGGACAAGAGTGGCAGAAGGGAGAGGGAGGGAGGGAGGGAGGGAGGGAGGGAAGGAGGGAGAGAAGAGAGCTGGGAGGTAGGCAAGGCCTACCTTTTTAAAGGGGAATGAAGCAAATATGCACAGGAGGTGCTCTTAGCTGCAGCTGAGGACAAACCCTGTCAGGACCCCAAGGGCAGGCTAATACAGATGCCTGAATACTAACATTCCTCCCTTTTGCTTACCATAATAAGGAGTAGTCGGGTAGTGGCAGCACAAGCATTTAATCCCGGCACTCCAGAGGTAGAGGCAGGCGGATCCCTGTGAGTTTGAGGCCAGGACTTGCTTCA